GGCGGAGGGGCTGTCCCCGGGGTGCGATGGGTGCGGGACAAAGATGCTGCTCTCCTTCTCAGTGGGGGAAGGTGCCGAGATGGGATTTTTCAGGTGGGTGCTGGAGGGTGCTGTGCACGCCTCGGGGGGGCCCCTCTCCTTGAACTCCAGCGAGGGGGGTATGTTCAGGTACTGCTTGGTGGTCTTGGTGCCAGAGGCTGATTTGTCCATGGTGATGATGATCACCTCCTTCCCTTTGGCTTTGCAGGCGTTCAGGAGGTGCTGCAGCACGTCCTTGTCATCAGCGTTGATGGCGTGGACCAGAGCCGATGCTCCCGAGTGGTCCTCCAGGCTGGGGTCTGCCCCGTTCTCCAGCAGCAGGGACACCACGTCCCCCCCGGCACCGCGGATGCAGGCGTGCATGAGGGCTGTTTTCCCGGACTTGTCCTGGATGTTGGGGTCGGCTCTGTTGTCCAGAAGGTACTTCACCATCTTGGCCTTGTTAATGCTCTGCTGGTCGACGTGCTTGGTGATGCAGGCCACCATCAGGGCGGTCTCCCCTTTCTCGTTGCTCTCGTTGATGTAAGCCCCCCCCTCCAGCAGCAGCCGGGTCAGCCGGAGCCGGCCGAGCCACACTGCCTTCAGGAGGGAGTTTCCCCCCATCTCCAGCTCCGTCACCTTGTCCATGGCACCAGCTGCTCCTCACTGGTGGGCAAAGACAGTGTCGGCTGGCAGCTGTGGAAGGAACCGTGAAGGAGAGGTGAGGCTTGCTCCTCCGCCCTGGCTCTCGCCTCTGCCCTGCCTTCCTGGGGGTGTCATGCTCCTGGCCCTGCCCCACATCCCACTTGGACCACATCCACCCCACCCCGTGGCACTAGGAGCTCCCCAAAGCTGCCCCCCCCCCCCCATGTGCAGCACCACAGCCCCCTGCACGCAGTGTCTCCTGCTGCCCGGGGTGCAAGGCAGGTGAGCGGCAGCGGGAGGAAAGCCTTGCTCTCCTCGGGGGTCTCCTGGGGAGGAAGAGCTGACCTTTGCCAGCCGGGAGGAGCCTCGGCCCTGCCTTCACCAGCCGTCCCACGCATCGCTTCATGGTCAATAATCCCCACTCCAGGATGCACTGTGTTTTCTGTCGACCGTGGAGCCTCTGCCCTCCCTCTGCTCTCGATGTGCCAGAGGACTTGGCCGTCAGGGCCACGAGTGCACCCATTGCCTGTAATCGCCCTGACCAGCCTCACCTGAGACCACCCCACCCTCCTTCTGCCCCTGGGCTCTATTTAAGCACTGGCCCAGCCCCTCAGTCCTGCTCTGAGCTCTGAAGGCACCTGAGGCTCTGTTCACCCCTGTCAGACCAGACTTGTTGGTTGGGCATCCCTCGTTGACCTGGGACCCGACTTGCCAGCCTGCCTTGGCCTGGCATCGCTGAGGATGGGACCTGTCGCTGGCTCGTCCCTGTCCTGCCGGTGAGGTCTCTCCCCCAGCTTGTGCCGTGGTCACCCTCAGCTTACAGCTCGCCTCCCCTTGCAGAGCAGCTCTGCTCTCGCTGCTCCCTGGCAGCACGTCTCAGTCTATCTCGCCTTACTCTTCTCCAGCTCTGCTTCCCCAGGAGCCACGCTGACATTTGCGTGGATGCAGCTGATTTCCCCAAGTGCCGGAGGAATCGGAATGGTCCTGATGCCGAGATGGTTTCCACCGAGTCTTCTGGGTCTCTCTGGCTGTAACACAGAGCTCGCTGGAGACGGCGTGAGCATCTCCCGGGGCTTCTCGGACTGGAGCCGTGGTCTTTGCTTACTTGCTGCTGAAGGAAACGCAGAGGGGCTGGCACTGCCTGTAACCCCGTGCTGCTTCGCAGCGGCGTGAGCCGCTTGTGTAGGAGAGTGCTGTCAGAGCAGCTTCCCCTCGCAGCAGTCTCTGCAACAGGACTGGCTTGGGAGGATCAACAGGCATCATCTCTGTTGGCAAGCGCTTCCCTGGTATGGGCTGGCTACGGGAGATTCCGCCAGGTAAGGCTCCGATGCGTTGCTCCATAGCCATGATACGCAACCCCAGCGCCTCTGGCTCTGCCCGTGTCCTTGAGGACCAGCACCCGTCCCCCGCAGCTCCCAGACCCGCTGGGCTCCACGCACAAGGCAGAGGTAGCAGCTCAGAGCTGTGCTGGAGGGACCAGCACCATGGAAACGTCAGGGGCACAGAAACAGACCCTCAGCCGGCGTGTCCGGGGGCGCTGCCCTGCC